TATGGTGGCTCTTGAATTTGACTATGATGTTTATGAGGTTTTTCCTTTTAGGGTTTCTTTCAGGAGATAACTTGGTGTATTCTATCTTCACTTTATGGTTCTAATAAATCATGGTTTTCAGGGAATCCAGTGATTCTTAAATTATCTCTCTTTGACCTGTTTTTCAGGTCAGTTTTTTATATCAGATGTCTTAGTTTTCTTTTGTTTTTTCAATCTTTTGATTTTGTTTCTTGTTGTCTCATTGATTTTTGTTTGGTCTACCCTTGTTCTCAGGAAGTCAGCTTCTTTGGTAAGTTTTATCCCTTTCTCTTCTGAGCTGTTTATTTACTTTTAAAAATCTCTCTTTTCAGTATTTATATACTTACAAAAAATCACCCCACCCCCACCCCATCTCGTCTGCATGGGCTTGTTACAAATTACTTTTTACTTGTTTTGGGAATCCCTAGGTTTTCAATCTTTTTTACTTATTTGTGGTTTTTTTTTTATTTACATCTATCCACCTTTAGTTCCTGAATTTGGGCCTTGGGCCAGGGCCAGGTTCCACTCCTAATGTACTGTTGGGTGGGGTATTAAGTGTCACCTGAATTCCACTGGGTTCCTCTGCTAAGCTTTGCCTCCTGGAGTTAGGCTGCATCCTAGATCTGTGAGGCTCAGAATATCGCTTTTCAGGGTGGAGTCCTAGATACTTAAAGGCTATCTCAGTCTGAGTACTTCCTGGCTGCTCTAGTCACTGCCACTTTTCAGGACTTCCAGGGCACTCGCCACTGCTGCATAGTGAGGCTTTCTGACCCATCTTTCTGGACAAGCCTTTCTCTCCTGTGTTCTCTGCTCTCTTGCGATCTCTAACTTGTTTGTCTTCATACACATATCTACTTCGGTTCAGGATACCATTTTGCCTAGAAGTCATGAGAGACTAATTATTTTATGATACACTGGTTACTTGTTTTTGTGTCCTTTTAAAATTCTGTCTAGGCAGCTGGGTGGCGCAGTGGATAGAGCTCCAGCCCTGAAGTCAGGAGGACCTGAGTTCAAATGTGACCTCAGACCAAGCACTTGACACTAGCTGTGTGACCCTGGGCAAGTCACTTAACCCCAATTGCCCGAAGGAAAAAAAAGCCAATCTTTTTTTAAAAAAAATGCTATCTAAATGTGAGTTATGGTTTCCCATGATATGTCATGGATTAAAAACAGAAAGAAAACACATTAGAGGAGGCACTTGGGAAGCGTTTAGCTTTACTCCACAATTCCCATGACTTCCCATGCTACACAGAAAGACTTGATCCTGCCGTCTCCTACAAGTGTTCTGTTTCTGTGTGAATTCCAAAATTATTTTATGTGATTGTAATCATTTTTCAGTTCATTTTTTCCTGTATCTTATGATCCCAACCCTGTTCTTCATCCCCATACTAACCTCCATCCTCTCCACTCCTGTCTTTTCTAGGATATCAGCCTTGTGCTGGCACCACCAATCTCCCTTTCTTCTCTCTCCTTAACTTTTGTTGGATTATTTCAGTATTATATGTTAGATTGCTTTGGCCCTTGTCCTATTGCTTATCATACCTTGCTAAACTATAGATTAATCCTGCTATCTGTATCCTTCACATACTGCTGAACTGAGCAGAAGAAAAACATGTCATGAAACTGCTGATTCAATTAGCTATAAATTTATGTCATCTAATCCCAACTGGGTCCTCACTGCAGCAAGATAATCATCTTACTCTTCCCTTATTGCTTTGCTATACAGTGGCTGTAACAAACCATTTCTCCCCAAAATTCTCACAACACTCTCCTACTCCTCAGCCTCTCAGCCAAGCATCCCGTCTCATACCTCACTGAAGAAATTGAAGCCGTTTTCTGAGAGCTCCTTTTCTCCTGTCCTCATCTCACATCAACCAGAGATCTTCTCACATTATCCCCGTGGTGTTGGGGTTTTTTTTTTCCATTTCTTTGAGCCAGTTCTTGTTTAGGGTAAAGAGACCGTTCCACGGACCTCACATTCCGTTCTTGGGGCTCTGCAGGCTGGCTTCAGTGTCTGCAGGGAAGGACCCGTAGCCGGGAGCTGCAGTAGCAGTGCTACAAGTCAGAATTATGTGAGGCAAATTTACATAAAGCAAGAACTATCTATAAATAAAGAAAAGGCCTTTCTCCTTAACAAGGCCAACATCTCTGTTGTTGTTCTTGATCAGTCATTTAAGTCATCTCTGGCTCTTCATGACCCCAGTTGAGGTTTTCTTGGCAAAGATACTAGAGTGATTTGCTGTTTCCTTCTCCAGCTCATTTTACAGATGAGGAAACTGAGACAAACAGGGTTAACTGATTTGCCCGGGGTCACAAGTATCTGAGGCCAGATTTGAATTCAGGTCTTCCTGCCTCCAGGCTTGCTGGTACTCTATCCACTGTACCCCCTAGCTGCCCTACATGCATCTGTAATCACATCTGTTCTTATCTTCTGCAGCATATTGCCTTTCTTATCAAAACCACCATCACCCTGACTTTCTCTTCTAATCACTCCCTGTCTGTCATCTTTTCCTGCTGATCATGTCTCCTTCGTTCTTTCAAAAACAAAACAAACAGAACCCTCCCTTGATCCTGTCATCTGTATGAAATATTGTTCTAAATATTCTCTTTACCTCAGCTAAACCACTTAAGAAATCCATCCAGACTAAATAGATCTCCACTTCCTCTCCTCCGAGTCTTTTCTTAACCCTCTGTTTTCTGACTTATAACTTCTTCATCTGAAACTGTCCTCTTCAAAGTTGTGAGTGATCTCTTAATTGCCAAACTCAGTGGCCTTTTCTGGATTCTTATTTTTGTTGATTATCCCCATCCCCACCCCTGTGGCTTTTGACACTGTTGATCATTTCTCTTCCTGAATAACCCCTCTAGGTTGATACTACTCTCTTCTGGTTCTCTTTCCATCTACCTGATTGTTCTTTCTCCGTCTCCTTTACTGGACTTTCATATCATGCCCACTGACCTTTGTAGGTTCATCATATGTACCATGTCCCCAGTTGTGGATGTACCCCAAGGCTCTGTCCTAGGCTTTCCATCTTTTCCCTCTATACTGCCTTAATGGATGAATGAGCTCATCAGCTTCCATGAGTTCTCTTATATCTGTGCAGATAATTACCAGATGTGTATGTGTGTGTGTGTGTGTGTGTGTGTGTGTGTGTGTGTGTGTACGTACGTATTCAGCCCTAGTGTGTCTCTAGAGCCTAGTACTATATTACCAATTGCCTTTTGGACATCTTTACCTGAAGAGCCCATAGTCATGGACTCAAAAATTGGCATATTCATATCAGAACTCATTATCTCCCTCCTCTCCCAGCCCTCTCACCCCTGACCCTCTCTTCTAAACTTTCCTATTACTGTTATCAGTACCACTATCCTTCCAGTTACCCAGGCTTGCAACCTCAATGTCATTCCCTGACTCTTGACTAAAATTTACTTCACATGTAATCAGTCCATTGTCATATCTTGTCATTTCAGCATTCATAACATTTTTCCCATCCTGTCCGCTTCTCTCCACGCAAACAACTACCATCCTAGCCTTCTAATTAGACTTCCTGTCTCACAGTTCTTCATGTTCCAGTATATCCTCTACTCAGCTGCCCAAGTGATTTTCCGAAAACACAGGCCTGACCACGTTTGTCCTCCCCTCTATCACCAGTGGTTCCCTCTGGGATCAAATATAAAATCCCTTCCCTTGGCCTGTTGTGAAGCCCCCTGTTTTATACTTCCAGTCTTCTTACACTTTAATGCTCTTACATTTATTTTACAATCCAGTGATACCTGCCCTGTTAACGGGGTTTTGCTCATGACACTCTGAATCTTGACATTGTGCCTTTTTACTAGTTGTCACCTCTACCTGCTCTCCTTCACTTCTTCTATCAGCTTCCTTTAACGTTTAGCTCAGATTTCACTTTCTGCGGGAGGTCTTTTTCAGTATCCTTTTTTTAATTATTGTATTAACAGTATAAATGTCTTCCTTGGTTATTGCATAGGTTTTATTTTATGCATTTTAAAACATTCTGAGAAGCCTGTAGGCTTCACCAGACTTGCCAAGGAGTCCATGATACAAAAAAAGTTAAGCCACCCCTTCCCTGGCTGCTAGTGCTTTCCTCTCTGAGGTTCCTTTCCATCTTGGGGGGTGGCGCATTTACCTAGTTATTTACATATTGTCTCCCCCATTAGAATGTGAATTCCTTGAAGACGGGAAGTGTTTTGCCTCTTTGTACCCTGAACACTTTTCACAGTATGTGGCACGTAGTAGGTGCTTAAGAAAATGTTTATTGCCTGCCTGATGGCTGTTCGTAATTATTACTGCTTCATGCAGTTCCAGTACTGGTTTTGCAACTAGTAACTGGATCTGTAACTTTGGACAAATCACTTAACCTCTTTCAACATCCCAGAGTTCTTTATCTACAAAATGAGGGGATTAGACTAATTATTCTATGAAATTTGTCATACCTCTAGTCTAAATTACATTCCAGAAGAAATTGTTCTATTCACACATTTTACTTACGATTGCCTAAACAGATCTCAATGCTTGCCAAAACTCTGTAAGGCAGAGATCAAACTCAAACACAGATCCTGCTGCTTTTAACTCGGTTGGATTGGCCCAGAAAGTTCATCTAAAAAATGACCAGAATTCAAAATAGGATGATAAAAATGTTGTCATTTAGGAATACGTTCTTCCTCAAGATGCATATACCATATGTTGGTTGAATATTTTGCTCCTTAATTTTTGTGTTTTGAAACTTTGTTTTAAAAATGCAGATATTTGGTTTTCTGTAATGAGGCCATAACTTTAATACCTCAGAGTCAACAGATTTAATTTTGGCATTTTAGACTATTCTATTCTATCATGGTTTGCCAAGATTGTTTTACATCTAGCAGATCTCCTTGTTCATGGATATATTTGAATTAAATATGTCTTTATGCAGTAACATAGCAGTAGCCGTCATGATGTTAACTTATCAGTGTATTTTCTTCTGAAGACATGACACAGGTTCCACGTCATCCACTGAGCGTTGTGATTCCTTGCTGAGTCGATCTGGGTCTTACAGTTACTTGGAAGAAAGAAAACTTTACTCTAGCAGACTAGAAAGAGAAGATTCAACTGACTTTAAAAAGGTATTTGGCCCATCTGATCACTTTTAAGTAAAGTCAAATCATCTTTTGTTATCAAGATACTTCTCTTCTGATAATTATTCCTCAAAAATCACAAATTAAGAAAATGCCTTCTAATCAAGAATTAGATGGATGTAGCATAAAAAAAAAATGACATTGTTTTGAAATGATAGGACCAAGGTTCCTGATACTTACCCCGGTGGCTTCAGTTCCACTTTAAATGGGTAGGTGGTGTGAAAGGCAAAGGCAAATGAATGGACGTGTGATTTTAGTGTGCTGGCCATAAGTAGACTTTAAGTCTTTGCCAGAATGAGACAACTAATATTAGATTTTTTCCAGGGAATTTAAGAGTTGAGGAACTGAGAAACTTGGAACAAGAATGGTGTAGAGCTACCAGGGATCAGAGGAAAAGGTAGTGAAGGAATTTGGGAGTGGTCAACAGAAAGGGATAATTCTGAGCAATAATCTAGATTTGAAGGAACTGAGAACTTGAATGTTTTGGTGATTAGATATTTCCCCTCATCCTGCTAGCAAGTACTGCAAATTGTTCATCTTCTCTTAATGTCTGTAATTGCTTGATATTAGGGAGTTCTAATATAGCAAAGAGGTTAATTAAGGCAAAGATCTTCCACAGCTACATTTTCATTCGTGTCCAACTCTTTGTGACCCCTTTGGGGTTTTCTTGGCAAAGATACTGGAATGGTTTGCCATTTCTTTCTCCAGCTCAGGAAACTGAGGCATATAGAGTGAAGTAATTCGCCCAGAGCCACAGGACTCAGCATCTAAATTAGTATCTAAGGCTGGATTTGAACTTGGGAAGATGAGTCTTCCTGATTCCAGGACTGGCCCTCTGTCTGCTGAGCTGCCCCACAGCTGCATTAGGTTTTCTAATATTGTATAGTCAGTAAGCTTAAACAAACTATGTAATAAATATTTACTAATGGCTCATTTTGTATAAGGAGGCATGCGAGGTTTTGTTTGTTCGTTTTGTTTGTTTTATCAAAGATATGATTCCTTCTGCTAGGAGGTTACAGCTAGTAAGGGAAAGCAGTCATCCAGATAACTAATAATATAAGGCAGAAAATGTTAGGTGCCTCATCCAGCTACAGAGTTTTATCTGAATTCAGTCTGTTACTAATAAAGAAGTTCACATTCTCTAGCACTTGAGAACTTACACAGTAGTGTGTATAAGTGCATAAACAGCCAATCCCAGAGTCAAGAAGGCCTGAATTCAAGCTCTACCTTGGACATAGAATTTTTTTTGGAGGGGGGGGGTTAGTTTATCTTTGGCAGATCATTTAACTTCTCAGTGCCCTGGGCAACTCTCTCAAAATACACATTTAAAGCAGAACTGCCACTAAGCATTTGTAGAAGGTGTTTCCACACTATGAATTCCCTAATGAAATCACAGGTTGAAACCAAAAATTTTTCTCTTAACAGCCTTATAAAGGGTCTAATATTTTTCTGCCCCCCTTTTATAGATGACATAACCTATCAGCTCCTCAGACAAGTTTTTCTTCTATTCATGGAAATAAAAATAATACTAACATAGAATTTTTATATGGATAATTTGGTGTGAGAATTATTTACAACCTCAGGATGCAAACATAGGTAATTTCAGGTGTTAAACACATCATATTAAATTATATTCATTTTTCTCCTTTAGTATAGAACAGTTATTGGGATGAAATTCTAAGTATTTGGACAGAAATAATAGATCAGAAAGATAATTTGCCTGTAACTCTACCCCATCTTTTGTCCTAGCTTTATGAACAAATTCTAGCTGAAAATGAAAAACTGAAAACACAGCTACATGATACAAATATGGAGCTGACAGAGCTTAAACTGCAGTTGGAAAAGGCCACCCAGGTTTGTACTCTCTTCTTTTTCATCTCCAAAAGAGAATATGAATATCATCTTTTTCATTCAGGCAGTCTAAAAAGTAGAATTGGGATTGTGTCTAGCAATTGTTCTGACTAAAATTAAGGGATCTTGATGCAACAGATTCTTTTTTTGGTAAAAAGTTAGAAGAGAATTCAGAGATAATACAGAAAGTGTCACATTTGCTTCTTGCTGCAGTAAATGAGATTGGCCAGCCTGTCCTCTCATAATATGGGTATTTCTTTAAAAGCTGTTAAACTTTTGAAAAAATGTCTGTTGAAAAATCTGTCTCCTTGCAATTATAACAAGTCATTAGAAGTATTTTTTAAATTTTATGATTAAAATTTCCTTTTAAGTAACATAGCGCAAACTTGTGTGTGTTTTGTTTTTAAAACACTTCTTTTCTGAGCCCTGCTTGTTTGATTTCTAGCAAGGCTTATGGGAGGTAAAATTTGATTACAAACATTAAATATCCAGTATATTAGGGATTCTTAACTTGGGAGTCCATGAACTTGGGGGAGGGGATTATTTTATATATTTTGATTATTTTGATAACTGTTTCACTATGATTAATTTCCTTTGTAATCTTGCTATGTATTTTATCTTATGCATTTAAAAACAATATTCTTAGAAGAGGTCCAAAGATTTCCACAGATGTCCACTACACTGCCAAAGGAGTCCATAACCCCAAAAAGCTTAACCCTTGCTTTAACTGTTCTTTTTAAAACTTCAAACTTTGAAGGGTTTAAAACACCCCGTGTCTGCAGTGTTATTGATGGAGGAGGTCTGACAATTCACCTGGTATCTCAGTTGGGATTGTGTATTTATAGAGAAGTTTAAGATTCCACTTCCCAAAAACAGTCCATTTGTTGTAAACTTTTGGTGTGTCCAAGTGTCTTGGGCATTGTGACAGTTGGAACTGTTTGCCTCCCTAGATTGTTAGCTCTTCATGAGCAAAACCTTTCTGTACCTATTTATACATCTGAGTTATTAAACCCGCTGGTTCTTTCTAATTGTCAACTATAAAGTAAGTACTCCGAGCAATCATTAGTCATTTATCCAGCATTTAGCATAGTGCCTGGCACATAGTAGGTGTTATCAGTTAATTAAGCACCTACTATGTGCAAGTCTCTCTCTCTCTCTCTCTCTCTCTCTCTCTCTCTCTCTCTCTCTCTCTTCCCCCCCCAAAAAAAAACACAGCTGCTCCCTGCCCTCAAATTGCTTGCTATCTAATGGAGAAAGTCAACCCACAAAAGGAAGGTGAAGGGGGCAGGGGGGAGGGAAAAAATAGTAAAGAAGTCAGTCAGAGAAATCCCAAAGTAGAGCAGCCAGGTTAGAGATCACAGTTGTCTAAGCTGAATTCTCTTCTTACTAAGAGGTTTGGAATTCATGGCCCCACCCTCCAGTCTTAGAAACTGAGGGTTGTGATGAAATGAAGTACCAAGGCTGGTGAGATCTGACAAAGTGATGAGGGTATCCCAGGAATGAGCATCCTGGGTCTTGGTAAAGTCAGTCAGAGAAGTCCCAAAGTAAAGCAACTAGAGGAAAATGAGGTGATCAAATGAATGTTGATTCATTGATAAATTAAATTGTAATTAATGTTGGTGTTTTCTCCATTGAATTTTTCGTGTTCCTTTTTTTCTCATTCTTGGTTTTATGCAATTTCTTCCTTTTCATGTTTATTATTGGTCTTCCCTTTACCTCTCTTCCTTTTCCGCAATTTCACTCTGGAGAAACAGAATATTCCCATTGCAAACTCTTGAATATCTGTAACAGTGCCTCAGGTGTTGAGGAGAGTACATAGTTAAAATTACATAAATCCTTAAATCTTGTGAATATCTTTAGGTAGCAACACTATACCATCTATGGCAGTTTAGTTGTTTTCTTGGACTTCCACATGAAAGTAAAACAGTTCAGTTAACATTTATTAAGCAAGGACCTTATATGATCAAAACACTATACTATATTTGCATGTTAATAGGGAATTCTAGTAGTGGCAGTCTTTATAGTCATAAGAAATTTTCCTTTTGACTAAATTGTTTCTAAAACTAAAAGCTCTCAAAGTATTGATGGGGGCAGGTCATAGGAACTGAGTAATAAGCCTCTGTGAGGCCTAATGTGAGTCCTTAGGCCTGAAGGTGTCAACTGTGGGGCCAGATTAAAATGTGAGAGTTTGATACCATTCCTCTTCCTACTCATTTCGTTGTACTTTTTCATACTTCCATACCAACCTAGTGTTTTCTTCTTTGCTAATTCTTTATTCAGATGCTCCCCTCTACACAGGCTCCTTAGGAGGATGAAATATTTGTAAAGTACCTAGCACCTAGTAAACATCATATGAATAAATGTTAGTTGTTATTAACTATTATTACACCCAAAAGTGAACAATAGAAATAGTAACAGAAGTTATGAGAGGGAAGAGATTTTATTATCCCTGGTCACTTTCTTTCCACTACCCATCTAGAAAAAGAAAATGATCGTGTTGTTTGAGTAAGTGTGTTGGGTCAATTTTTTTTTTCTTGTTTTAAGCTTTTTCATATAATGTGCTTGGATTCCAGTAGTGCTGTCTTTTAATGGTGATTAGGGAAAAGGCATGATGTTGCTTTTCCCCTTAGTGTTTGCCTCTTCCATTTCCTTCTTTTTATAACATATTAACTTTACATTACAGAGACAAGAAAGATTTGCAGACAGGTCACTTTTGGAAATGGAAAAAAGGGTAAGCTTCGGATGTTTTGTTGAAATAAGAATCACTTTTCCCCTTGGCTACAAATGGGATTAAATTTGAAGTTTATAAATCTTATAGATTTCTTTAACCCTTCAAAAGCCGTTAGTAATTTATAGTGTAAAATACCATAAAAGCTAAGTGATTTTTTTTTAAAGAAGTTTTCCTCTTAATTCCAAAATGTCCTTAATGGATTGAAGATTTATTAAAATGCTATCATCTCATACCATGTATTATATAGAGTAATGTACTTAAAGATATGCTCAATTTGATATAGTTTTGCTATCTTCAAAATTAAAGCTCATTTTTTACTCTCAAAGTCTGTTCCCTTAAACTCTGTGTTTTGGGGAAAACAGCCTTTAAATCTTCTGTTGTAACTACTTTATGTTAAATTTTCATAAATATAAAGGGGAATTATTTTTTAATGTAAAATGCAATTCTTCTAACTATAGCAGCTGTGTATTCTCTTGATTGAAAGATTCAGTAGCCAAGAACAGTGAATCTGGAAATTTTTCTCCGTGGTGTAGAAACAAAATTATAAAAACAGAAAAGTAAGAGTAAAAATAGTATTTTAATGTGTTTCATATGCAAAATTGTATCCTGTATATCAAAATAATCAATTATATTAGATTTCTAATTTTTAATAGCCATTCTAATAAAAAATAATAATTTAAAATAAGTTGGAGGTACGACTGTTTCACCAGGATATGCTATTAGTATTATAGTATAGCTTAGCTTTCCATGTTACTAGATTATAACTGCAAATTTCTAAGAAAATATAAATTTCTTATTAATATTTAATATCCATTTTATATCATTTCAGTATTTTAGCTAACATTAAGTTTTATTTATCTCTGAAACACAGTTGTAATACAGTCATCTATTATATATTTGCCAGTACTGGACAAGATAAAGGCATATGGATATCTCAGAATAACAAATAATACAAAACCTATTTCTTTTTATACCAGTCACACAGATACAAATTCACACTGTGACACTATCGCAGACCTCCTTCATATCCTAGCCACCTCCTACTAAAAATGATATATAAAATGTCAAGTTCTAATTTGGAAATGTTTGACATGATTGCCATGTATAACCTATATCAGATTGCTTACTGTCTGAGGGAAGGAAAGTTAGAATTTGGAACTCCAAACTTTTCATTAAAAAAAGCTAAGGTTAAAAATTATTTTTATTTGTAATTGGGGGAAAAATAAAATCTTATTTTTAAAAGTTGTTAAAATAAAATGTCAAGTTCACTCGCAGATATTTAGAAGCATCTTATCCATCCATCTCAGTTCATAGATGAGGATAAATTGTGGCCTAAAATGGGGATATGACTTGCCCAAGGCAACCCAGGTAGAGGGAGGCAAGGCCAGGGTTTCCAATTCTTGGCAATGGAATTAAGTGACTTGCCCAGAGTCACACTGCTAGGGAGTGTTATATGTCTGGGGCCGAATTTGAGCTCAGGTTGTCCTGACTTCCGGGCTGGTGCTCTATTCGCTGTGCCACCCACCTGACCTCTGGGTTTCCAGTTCTTAACCAATTCTGCTGTTACCTGCCAAGCTTGACCACTCAATTGGAAGTCCCTTTAATTCACTTTGTCATTTCATTATTTGTCAGCTTATTTCAGTAGCTCCTTGATGTGGTCAGTGTTTCTTCTGGTGCAGGTCAGAACTCAGTCATAACTTATCATCATCTTGGATTTTTCCCTTTGGCCTTCATAGAGGGTCTACCTCTCACACAGATTGCCTCACTGCAGGGCAGGGCTCTTCTAATTAGGATTGATATTTCACTCTAATCAGCCTCCTTTATAATCTAATTATTTTCTATTTTATGTTTGGAAAACGTTATTCTGAGGAGTCCATAGGATTCACCAGACTTCCCAAGGCAGGCATCCATGACACAAAAAAAGTTTCTGATCCTCAGCTCTAGGGGCTTTTAACATTTTTGTCAGTGCAGTACCACCTGATCTGTTACATGGAAATTACAAAACATGCTCAGTCTAGCCTCTAGGGTGGTTTTCAGAATATAAGAAATGAGATTTGTGAGAACTCATTGAAAAACATTGAGGTGTCTAGATAATTGCAAAGAGGTGAAGGGCTTCTTTACCAGGAGCTGGTGATATTAATATAACTTATAGTTTATAAAGTTCTTGTGTGTGTGATATTTCTTGAGCATATCCAATACTGAAATAATAAGTTGCTTGTAAGAATGTTTGTAGACTGCTGAAGTAGGTTTTTAAAAATCAATTGAATAAAATCATAAAGACATTAACAATGGCAGTAAATAAACGCTTTTACTAAATAAAGATTGACAGTAGTTACTAATTGGAAAAAGGTTGTCATAAAAGGAGCTTCAGTATGATTAAACTAAATTCAAATGGTTTGTATCTGAAAGGTGACCGGCAAGAGTCAGTATCTTCTGGGCGGTATGACCTAACCAAAGTTTTATAGCACATCAGTTACTGCTGCTTGCTTTGTGCATAACACCTCAGTATGCTAACTCAACAAACAAACCAATGCTCCCATAGTATACTGTATGCTGCTTTTGCATATCACTCTTTGGAAAAAAAGATAACAAATACTGCAACTGCTTTTAAATTAGATTCACTGCGTTAATGCTACACAAAGAAATCAACTTTAGAAGCCCCTGCAATCTGTGTTATCACTTTGGAAAAATAATTGGACTGGAGATAAGAATAGCATAGACTTCTCAGATTTTCCAAGTACAGCATACATTTTGTTCACATTTGCTTGTCTGCTTTTTTGCTTATACCACTTTGGCATAATTGGGGGAGGGGGTTCTTTTTGTGTGTGCACATGGGGTTTTTTTTTAACTGCCATATGAATTTCTTCATCTTTGGAGTGGTATAATCTATTCTATAGTTTTACCTAAAGTAGTTTACCTATACAGCTTAAATGGACTTGGTATGAAGCATTGTGTCTATCAGCATTTCAGTCTTTTAATGAAAAGATTATCTGTTAATAGAAATATATTAAAAACAGGTCTTAATTTTGAGTTTTTTCAAACTTTAGAAAGCTTTCTATACATCACTTGCATCACATCTTCTGTCTACACTGCTCCTGATTTGATTTTTTAAAAATCTTGTATCACTATTTCACAGTGTATATGTAAAAGCTTTAAAAATGTAATTATTTTGTCATCACTAATATTAGCACATTATTCAATCCTAGGAACGAAGAGCTCTAGAAAGAAGAATATCTGAAATGGAAGAAGAACTCAAAGTAAGTAAAGTTATGCTACTTAAAATGAATTCAAGTTTAGGTCATATCATCTTTGGAGTAACAACATTAAGCTGATGGTTCAGATTCTAGATTGCTCATGCCTTTTCTTCTCTTTCCTACTGCCTCTTAGTTTGGACCAGACCACTAAATGGTATTTTTAACCACAGAAATAAGGTGAACAAGAAAATAAAACTCAGTCATTAAGTTTATAGTTTCACAATCCTTGTGAACTATGGGTGTAGAAAATAATGGTCACTAAAGTTTGGGAATTTTCAGTGGATTAACCATAAATATGTTCTCCATTAGCATTGATAAGTCAAATTGTTCTGTAGAACTATTATAGAAATTTTTCTTAAGTATTGAATATAACATTGACTTTATTCTCAAAATATACTTCACTAACTGAGGATTTCTCATATATTTGACCTAGGAAAAGTTACTTAGCTATGTATATCTTTAGGGAGAAAATCTCTAACCTGGTTTTTTTCTTTGAGGTTTTTAAGTACTGGTTTGTAATGGAATAAAGGGGGAGGGGAGTGGCACAGAATCACTAGAAATATAAGAAAGGATGTTCTATTTTTTTTGAAAGATGAGCACCAGAAAGGTAGATAAGGACCCTGCATTACCTGTGGAAATAATTAAGAATAAAATACTAGTGTAAAAATGTTTAATTGCTGCTGGGGGTACTTGATAGCTATGCTTAGCCTTCATTGTACTGTTTTATGTAAAATTGGTGTATTTGGTGCTTTTAGTTTTTAACTTCCAAATACAGTATGTATTCTGGGTAATAAAATATAAAAAAAAGAATAATTTCAGAAACAAGGTGCTTTGTCATTGTAGACTGAAGGGTTTTATAAGTGACTAATCATTTGCTTTTCTGAAGTATGCTTTAAAAATATATCTCCTTTCTAAAGATCTTGGCAAGATTTATTTCTCAGACAAATTTTTTTATTCCTCTCCTATACTTTCTTTATACCTGTTGTGCTATTTCTTCTCCTTCTATTCTCATTCATTTTTTCTTTATGTTCTGATTCCTGCAGAACCTACATCAAATAAAGCAGATTCAGACTCTGAGACAGTTACATGAGCGACTGGTGACTGAGAATAGGGCCTTGACCAGAGTGGTAGCCAAGCGATCAGGGTCCTATAGGCAACTACAGGCTGTCAAGTTATAATTTGTATTTGCTTCATTTCTTCTTGGTAGAGCCAGGCAGGTGTTTTTTGTTCTAGTATTAGTGTGCTGGGCCCGCTTTTACAATTAATGCCTGTGTGTCTAAAGACTGTCATGTAACTGTTTTAATTATGCATGCTGCTTCTTGGAGTTTTTAGAGAGTGTTCACTAATTATACATGGCAACTGGTAAGCTGCAGTCACATTAAAACAGTCACATCCATGCAGTCACATTAATCAGGGAATGGTTTAAGAATCAAATTAAAGATTTTTGTTTGTTGTGTAAATATGTACTCCAGAATTACTCTTGATAGGTGTTTGAGGTTGCTAGGTTTGGGGTTTTGGTTTTTAATATCACAGTTATCTTTTATAGTGTCTTTTCAACAGTCTTAAATGTAGGTTTTGAGTTGATAAGAGACATCCACATGTATTTGTAATATATCAATAAGTTTAAATTGGTAAGTCATAGTTACAGGATTTAAAGCTGAAAGGATGCCCAGAGATCATCTAGCCCAGCCCTCTTACTGTAGTCCCTCTAGCCCCCCCAAAAAAATTAATTTTTATTTAGACCTGTTCTGACTTATTCACTTTCTGTATTGTGCCTATTTTCATCAAAACTGCATTTCTTAATGACAACTTTACCTTATTTAGTTTTTGTGTGTTGAAGCTTTTGCTTATAATCAAACTTTTTTCTCCCAAGGTTTGCCTGAAAATTCCATTCAGAATAATACTCTTACATTTCAAGTTGATAGGTAGTTTTTATCAATATTTTGCTGCTGTCTAGTGGAATAATGTAGTAGACATAACTTGGGAAGGTGTAATTTCTCAGTGGTGAGAATAGTGTTTGTCATTGGGGAAACCAGTGAGAATTATGTTTGCACTTCCCAAAAATGAATTACTCTGGTGTTTCTAAGTCTAATTTGTTTCTGCCTTGCCTTGTTCCCCCAAAAGAAAATCATATGGCTCAAGCCCCATTGCCTTTTTATAGTTGACACTGGTAGTGCCACACCATGAATCATTCTTGATATTTAGTTTATTCTCTTTTCCACTCTCCTCTCAAATTTATTTTTATAAGCAAAATTTCTGTGGGATTTTCTCCATTTTCATCTATTTTGAGCAATTCTAGAAAGCATTCACCCTGTTTGTTGTGCATATTTTGGTCTTATTATTGAAGATATTATTTTTAAATGTTATGTTTTCCCAAAAAGAGGTAGTAAACTGAGCATGCTATACACACACACACATGCACACACAATGTAAAATGCATTATAGTTTATAAGAAATAAAAAATTTTGATATTTTGTTGAAAACCAGAAAGCTGTTTCCTAGTTGGACTTCTAAGATAGTGTCTTTTAGTAGTAATGGAACATAGTACTAGTATAGACTGGATTTTAATCTTGATGCCAAAATGAAGCTTGTAAATTTCACTCCCTGACTTTAGAGAACCTGATTTTTTATTAAACAAATTAGAGATTTCTTCACAAAAATGACTGGTTTTTTCATGCTATCCTCCTGTTCCATCTGATTTAGCCACTGAAAATATATTTAACTGACACAGCTTGCTTTTTGTTTGTGGTGAAAGTATAACATTTGTCAAAAGAGCAATTTGTTAAAATACCTAGAGAGCAGTATTGGCTGTTGCATTGAGATCTTACCCCATTGTTTCATTTCTCGATATTCTACAGTTAACCTTGGCCTTTTTTTTTTTTAAATTTCAGATGCTACCAGACCTGAAAGCAGACAACCAGAGGCTAAAAGATGAAAATGGGGCCTTGATCAGAGTTATAAGCAAACTTTCCAAATAAAAGAAAGCAGCAAGTAATGATATTGCACATACTAATAACCCCAGTGGACCATGGTTGGCAGTCATTGGATTCATGGGGAAAGAATCCTTCAAGACTGTCATTTTCAAATATCCTGCCAAATGCCCTCTTACCTATGGGTTATTTTATGGGGTGTTTTTTTTTGTTTTGTTTTGGTTTTGGTTTTTTGGTTTTGCTTCATTTTTGCACCAAGACCATTGTTTCATGTTAATGCAGCTGCTGAGAAGATGACAATGACTGAGAAATCTTGTTTACAGCTACAGCATACATAAGGAAAGTGTTCAAGGCCGGATACGCCTCAGATATTTAACCAGTAAGCCTTAGTTGTACAGAAACACTTTTGCATCAACAAAAGCTTTCAGCTCTCACAGAAGACAGTTACTCAACATATTTTTTTTGATGTTGTGCCACAGCTTCCAGTTTTCTGATATTCCATTTTCGTTGTTTTAAATCTTAAGTTTGGATTTGTCTTTTTCCCTTCTAACTATTCATGTGCCAGACTTCCCCCAGCCCTGTGTACAGTGTTTTCACTGCTTCGTCATTTGCAAAGAACACATCTTCTAAAGTACATCTTTGTATAGTGATATAGTGTTGTGTTGTTTAACCACCTAGAACAGGAATCCTAGGTGGAACATTTGCTTTCACTGTTTGTGCAATATGCATTTATTTCTTATATGAAATGCTTTAATGTCAGTTCAAATTAGAATTCCACAGATCCTGTTTTCTGCTTTCATTGGTCATGTTTATTGTTTGGGGTTTGTTTTGGGGTTTTTTGTTTTGTTTTTTTTTTTAATTGTAGAGTAAGATGTTGAATACTGTAATCTTCACGTTTTATTTTAGCAGGTACTGAGTGATGCTGTATATATCAATAAGTGTACTGTTTGGATTTTTAAACTACCACATGGCATGCTTGACTTATTTCATTATTGCAAATGTCTGTTCATGCAAAGTAGGCTACTCCAGAATAGTGTTAAAATTTGCAAACTTTGTGGTATCAAGAATTTAAATATTATGCATTTTATGGAGTCCTATCTTTACAAAAGGTTTCTACTGTAAAGTAATTTTCTTTCCAATTTTCATTTGATAGTGTTCACCATAATTAAAGTTGCTTAAATATAATTGCTTTCACTACATTTCACATACCTGTATTTATCTGAGTGCTGTCCGAAACTGTTGTGCTAGCCAAAGTAATGTTATTAAATCATTTCCAAACCTAATCCATTACTCATATTAATGTTTATATGCACTGTTGCCATGTGAAGGGGCATCTAATTTGATACCATCACCATCATGTCAGACCATTTTGTACATTTCAGTGGCCTTTTTCAAAAAAACAAAAACAAAAAAAAGAGTACTTAAGCAAAGATGTCTTTTGTTAAGAGACAAATAGCTTTTATATTTTCATTTAACCATGTGAAAAAATGACATCTTACTGGCACATAATCTATCTCCTAAAACCACTGAACAGTTCAGCCATTAAAATAAATTGTACATTGTAAAGCTTGAAGTAGCTGTTGTATTATTGATTATATTGTATACTATATTAAATGTGAATTTGTACCCCTTCATTTAAAAAGGTCATTGTGTTCAACTGCCTAATTTAGGTTATTTGGGGCAGGGGGGGAGGGGGGAAGGGTATTTTGGTTTAGCAGGACGTTAAGTCTTTCTGTTGATTGGTTTTATGAAGATACAAGGTTATGCTCTTACTACCAAGCTCAGGATTCTTGATTTTTAAAGGTACAAGGATAGTTTTGGGATCTTTCTTTTGTCATAATTGAACTGTTTGAAAAGTGGGTCTGAATATAGAGACTTTCCATGGTCTGAGGTAAAATATGCAGATTACTGATCAGTTTAAATGGCTGCAACCTGTTAACGGTGTTGCACAACAGTTGGGCATGCTGAGGATTATATTTCGTGATGTTTGGATGCCTGTGAAGAATGATTAAATGCGTGTTTCTAATATTTTAGTGTTTTGTATTTAGGTTATTTATTCTTTGTATCTAAAACTGAACGGCTACTGTGCTATATTGATTTTATTGGTAGTATTGCGCAGACTTTGTTTCTGCATGAAACTAGTTGCAAAACCCACTATTTTGGAAAAAATGTATTTTGACATATACAAATAAAATAAATAAAACTATTTTAAATGTCTGAAACTTTTCTGAAGGCATGTTAAATTCTGTTTTGAGTTTAATATTTAAAGCCTGATTGGGCATTTTTTCCCTACCCATGTTAGGAGTTTTTTTGGTTGTTGAGCACTTTTTGGCTTGAGGCTTTTTGGGTTGTGGATTCTGTTTGTTTGTTTTTGTTTTTGTTTTGATCAGATCTGTGATAGCATTGGTATGGGGAACTTCCAGTGAGGTAACTTGTTCATCCCATTCAGATAGTCAACTTTTTGCGATTTATGGCCTTTTAAAAAGGCCAGGGGGAGGGAGCTGTGATTTACAGGTTAAGTGACTTAACCCTGGATCCCACAGCCATTTCTGTGTCAGAAACAGGACTTGAAAAGCTAAGTTTTCCTCTTTTAAAGGCCCACTCTCTATCCATTATGGTTGCTAGGTTATTTTCAAAAATGGTAATATTTTGGTAAATTGTGCTTCGTTGTACATACATATGTAATTGTTATATTTATGCAATCCACATACCAATTTGGGAAAATGTTTATATGTTTTATATATGTCAGTCTATATGCAGAATCTGATAATTAGGTTGGGTTTTTTGTGATTATTTATCTTCTAGTTGGGATACAGGAATGAATTTCCTAAGAGAACCACTTTAGAACACAAGAAATCATAAATGGCTTCTAGTATTTTTATTAGGCTCATTCATTATAGTTGTAAACACAGAAGTATAAAAATCTGTACAGGAGACAATTCTGTTATGGACAGTCTGTCCATACCAGATACAACACTGATTAAAACATGTTGGAAATTATATAGTTCTCCATTGGATCTTTGATCTCATCCATCAGTGTGAGTATTCTCTGACACTGCAGATCACAGCCCTACATGTTCCAACTCAGTGGGACTGGAGACCATGTCCAGCAGCAGGGAAGCCTTCCTCAAGTGCTTTTGACATCCTGAGGCTATCAGTGGGATATATGGACTGTCTATCCCTTGCTTATCTTAATTCTTCCTTTGCAGCCAACTTCTCTGTAATTGCTTATTTGTAATGTGTTGTATCCTGTTTGTGTTCAACAAGTGGTTTTCCATTGCCCTTTCTGTAATCCTCACTTTCAGTTTTTCAGTGTTTCATGAATCACAATCAGAGTCACTAGAATCAGCATCATCAGAATAATTTTTTAGACTATGTAAAGCCCAATTCTGGTGGTATTATTTATAATTGAGTGAAAATTCAGCACCTAGATCTACAACAGGTGATATTGGTGACCAGCATTCTGGCTATCTAGGCCAAAGAAGGATTTTTTTAACCTACGTAAAAGCATAAGTGATAGTGGATACTGCAAGCACCTTTGCTATCACATTTGTTCTAGATTTGGCAACTAATCATTAAAAGGGATGCATCTAGACAAAAATAAATATTTCTATATTTGTACTTGTTTAGGACCTTTGTGGTTGTCAGAAATGAAGGACAACACACAACCAGTAAGTAAATTAAAAAGAAACAGAGCCAACTCTGCATTACCCACTGGACCAAAAGGTTCTGCCTTTGCCCATTCCTCACCTACTCTTATTATCAGTACTCAATGTTTAGATAGATAGATAGATAGATAGATAGATAGACAGACAGACAGATAGATATTGTGTGTGTATATATACACACACATACACACACATATTCATATTAGCTTAAGCAGAGTAGATGAGCAAGGCAGATCTGCAAATTGTGTGTCTTCCAAAGTCAAGGGAATTCTGGATTATATGGAGCAGTCCAGTTAATATAATTAATGATTAAATCATAAATTTGGAGCTGTGTGGGTCACTAGAGATCATCTAGTCTAAACCCTTTTGTTTTAGAGATGAGGGAACAGGCTGAGAGGTGGAAGTGACTTACCCAAGGCCAAACCAGTAATAAAAGACAGCCAGGATCTGAATTGTTTTCTGACTCCAAATCGAGTCATCTTTTTCCATTGTAGAAAGTATTTATAGGGGGCAGGTATGTGGCACAGTGGATAGAGTATTGGCCCTGGATTCAGGAGAACCTGAGTTCAAATCCAGCCTCAGACACATAACACTTACTAGCTGTGTGACCCTGGGCAAGTTACTTAACCCCATTGCCTTTCCAAAACATAAAAGAAAGTATTTATTGCTATTTCTACACAATATTAAAAATGTGTATATATATACACACACACAGGGCAAAATCCAGTTTTCTGTTTCTCTACTTTGAAAAGGATGAATGATTTGTAATTTCTTGCATGTTTTATGCCAGATATAGGCTTGATATTACATCACCACAAAGGAAATGTTGGAAAGGTAACCAAATTTATGTCCAGCTGCCAGAGTTTGCTTAGAAATCATCTAGTTTAAAACTTGTGAAAATAAGAAAACAGGCCTAGACAGATTAGGTGATTTATCCAAAGGTCACACAGTAAGATGAACCAGCATTTTGGAACCCACATCTTCCAAAGAGGAACAGTCTAGCCAAGATGACAATGGGAGGAAACAATATAGTTCTACCCAATAACTGCTCCACAAAAATATGGAAATTACCAGAACAGGTTCTGATCAGGAAAGCCAAGAAAAAATAGTCACTTTTCCAGCCTAGGTTGGCATAGGGAAAAAGAAACGTGTGGACCCTGGTCTGGCTAATTGCATGCCACACAGAGGTCTAACCAAGAGCATGGCACACCCATAGCAGGAAAAGAAGAGGCCATGTTCATCACAGAGGGGGCTGACTTCGTACAAAAAATGGAAACATGTCAATGGACAACTCTGTCACATGTTACATAGGTAATGAGAAGCCCTTTTTGCAAGATGTACTGGAAACAGTTTTCATGCTGTAGGTAAAAGTTTGGACTTATTGGTGTTTCCAGTGATGGAATTCTTTGTGGACTGAGACCAGGATCTGTACCCAGAAGTGGAGGACATGGTTGAGGAGCAGTCGATTGCATGCTGAACAAGCATCAGTTATGTGGCTTTGACCCCAAGAGCAGAACCAAGGTCTCAGATCCAGCTCCTAGCCTATTCTGAAGCATACAGTAGAATAGCCAGGACAGAAAACCAGACAAAAGGAGACTCTGTGGGTCAGCCACTCAAAACTTAAAGAATTTTCCAACCGGCTGACAATGGCTGAGTCCAGCAGCAGTCTACTAAAGTTCCAACCAGGGGTAGTAATCCCTGAGGAGTGTTGCTCAGATCCTAACCCAGGTTGGGAACTACAGAGCTCGGACAAGGGGGCAGTGCTCAGACTTTGCCCTGGATCAAACTGGTTTCAACTCACCAAAATCTTGCATTTCTCTAAGCTCCAAGCTATCTCTGAAATCCTTTAAGAACATAGCTATCAAATCCTTTACAAAGGAGCAGAAGAACCCAAAAGAAGAGAAAATAGGACCAAGCATAGTCTAGAATTCCCTGCAGAAGGGTACAGAGCCTGGACTTAACAAAAAGCCCAAACTCTGGAAATAAGACTGGATGAATGAGCAAAGAAAGAATCCCACCATAAAGAGGGGTTATGGTTCATAGACCTGTCAAGACACAAACCCAGAGGAAGAGAATGACTCTAAAACATCTACAAAAACAAAGCCTCAAAAACAAAACAAAAACCAACCCATCTTGGACACAAGTTCAGCTAGAATTCCTGGAAGAAAAGAAGCAAGAGTTTTTCAATGGTTTTTTAATAGCACTAGAGGAGAAACAATTATGAAAAAAAAAATGAATACTACAACAAATTGGAAAAGAAATGAGAGCTATGGAAAAAAGTATTGAATTAACAGAAAAAAAAAAAGAATTAGCAACTTGATACATAAGATACAAAACCTTACCCCAACAACAAACTCCTTGAAAGTTGGAATGAACCAAATAGCAGCTAATGACTTTATGAGAATCCAAGTGTTGGAGGTGGTCAGAATAGTGAGTCCTTGCTCCACTGGAAAAAAAAGGCAATTAAAAGATTGTTAGTAACTTGGGAGAGAGGAGTTTGAGTTGAATGATGAGGTGGGAAGCCAGATTGTAGAGGGTTAGGAAAAGAGTGAGAGGAAAGTAGAGGCACTTGAAGCATTTCACAAGTTTAGCCACAGAAGAGAGGAGAGATATGGAAGCATTGCTAGCAGGGATGGATGGATGGATGGATGGATGGATGGATGGATGGATGGATGGATGGATGGATGGATGGATGGATGGATGGATGCATCAAGTAAGAATGAGGGAAACAGACATGAACCTGTTTACAGGCAGTAGGGAAGCAGCCAGCAGACGAGGAAAGACTGAAGATAAATCAGAGTGGGGATGATAGAAGAGCCGATGGGCTGGTAAAGATGGGATGGAATGGGATCACTTTGCATGTAGAAGGATTTGCCTTAGCAAGAGGAAGGGCTACTTCTTTGTGAGACAGATGAAGGAGGAGATGATGGCAGAAGATGTCTAGGAAATGTGAACTAAGGCGAGGAGGGACTCTTGGCAAATTGCCTCCATTTTTTAAATAAGATATGAGATCAGTTTTTCAGCTGAGACTGGCAAGTTTGAGGAAAGATGATAAAGTTTGGAAAAGCTGTTGTGAGTAGGATAGTAAATTAATTAGGGAGATGAAATAGTTGCTTTAATGCAGCAAGAGCCTAGTTGAGATTACAAACAAATCTGTAGAAGATCCAGGAATTATGGTTTCATGATTTTATCCAGCTTTTTTTTATTCAGTCATTTCTGTTGTCTCCTATTCTTCACAACCCCATTGGGGATTTTCTTGGCAAAGATATGGAGTGGTTTGCCATTTCCTTCTCTGGTTCATTTTACAGATAAGCCTAGCACTCTATCCATTGCACTACCTAGCTTCCCGTCATCACCATTCTCTGGCTTTATTAGCCTTCAACATAAGCAAGAGTAAAGGCAGTGTATGGTGAGAGTAATCCAGGGCTGAAGCTACTAAGGAGGCAAGGAATTCAAGAGGCAAGGACAGTGTAGAATTGGGCCAGTATACTAAGGGGTCGAGATGTAGAAGGAGGGAGAGTGTATCCAGTGCAGGGATGATGGCCTGGGAAAGA